TGTCTGCTGAACTGATAGTCTCCAGGTTCTCAGGGGACCCTGCTTCATTGCCAGTGCTCGAAAGGGCTCTCTTGAGAGCAGATCAGGCCGGCTGCAGGTGGTGCTGAAGAAACAAATGCCCACGGCTTCAGAGACATCATTGTATCCTTCTCCAGAAGTGGGAGACTCCAGTAGACCCACCGGTGTGCACTGAGAGGCAGTTTAGGGTATTGAGTTACAATTGGTCAGGAAGTATCGTCCCTCACCCCTTAGGTTTTAATGGTCAAATAAAGGTTTATTAGCTTTAGAACTTGAGTAAGCATTTCCAGAAAAGTTGGTGGACAAATTCCATTGCCCTTTAATTGCATTTTTCTATGAACTTTCTAAGCCCCCTGGTATAAGTAGGAGTTAGTACTAGGCTTTCTTCAGTTAATGAAAAAAAAAAAAAATTTTACAAAGATCTTTTCTTTTAATGAAAAAGAAAAGAAATCTCTAGGGTACTTACTCTAAGAGTGGTTCTTTGGACAAGGTAGTCTCATACGCCGTGCAAAGCAACTGCAGAGGTGAAACAGCAAGTTACCACCAGTGATGGTGTTGTCACTCACCATGGGGACTCGGTCTCCAAAGACAAGCAGTTTTAGGGAAAAAAAAAAAAAAAAGAATAAAGATTGCATCACCGTCAGCTGAAAATCCCAGTGTCTCCTGCCAAACAGTACAATCTTTCTCCGAACTAAGGCACCAGTGTTGTGAGAGTGGTTAAAATCTACATTTCTTCTCGTCTCAGAGACAGAAAGGTAAAACAGAAGTAAGTGGGGCGGGGAATTGACTTCTGGCAGCCTGGTTAAACTTAAGAATGACCATGTGGTGGCGCTGGTGGTAGTGGTGTGCGGTGGAGCCGGTTTCTACCCATAGCGACCTGGTATAGGGTTTCTGAGGTGATAAATCTTTATGGGAGCAGAAAGCCTTATCTTTTGCCCTCAGAGCAGCTGGTAGATTTGAACTGCTAATCTTGTGTTTATCAGTCCAACTCCTGAACCTATTATGCTACCAGAGCTCTTTGAATGATAAATATAGATTAGGAAAACTATAAGGAACAGAGATGATTTGGAAGCTATCTTCCTGCAAAGGCAAAAGAAGTCAATACGAGTAGTTATAAATGTGAAAAAGACAAAAGGTCAATGTCACACATAACTGAACTGAAAATAGCTAGACTTTTTTTTTTGGCCTATCATACTGCTGCTCTGGTAATGTAGTGGTTATGAATTGGGCTCTGAACCTCAAGGTAGCAGTTAGAAACTAGCAGCTGTTCTGTAGGAGAAAGATGAGGCTTTCTGCTCCCGTAAAGATTTACAGCCTCGGAAACCCTGTTCAGGGTTGCTATGGGTCGGAACCGACTCAACGGCACATAACAACAACAACCGTAACTGCTGGCACAATTTTGAGTGGTGGGGCTGTAATTTTGAAATGTTATTAACGTTTTAAATTTTGTGATGGTTGTGTATTTATAGAGTGAAAAAAAGTCTAAAACATAAGCTTGATTGAACTTTAGTATATTGTTGTTATTATTAAGCACCACCGAGTTGGTTCCGACTCATAGTGGATTTCCAAGGAGCAAATGGTGAGTTTGATTCGCCAACATTGTGGTTAGCAGTCAAGTGCTTATCCTGCAGCACCACACCAGGACTCCTGGTCTTTAGTGTAGGTACTTGATAGGTAGGTAGAAGTCGTTTTGGGGTCTTCAGTGGAGCACGAGGTCGAGAGCTGACATTGAATTCTGGTGGTCACTGATGGGGTCCCAGTGCCCCTGCCTTCCTTTCTTGTCACAGCCATTCTTTTGGTGTGTTTAGACCAGGGTTCCTGACTCCTTGCTTTCTCACTTCTACCAGGAAATCCTGTTCAGAACATGTCTAGAGTCTGACCTTTTCTCACTGCCCACCACCAACACAAGCTCCCCTTTTCTACTGCCTTGGTTAGAGGAAGGTGCCTCCTGGCACTTGGAAAATAGGATGAGCCAACTTGAGCACTGTAGCCAGAGAGCAGACCTTCTGGTCAGTGTGGATGGGAGTGGACGATGGCTGAACTGTAAGCAGGAAGGGGAAGAAGCCGCGATTGCGCCCCGTCCTGCTCAGAGGAAAAGCCAAGTTTCTTACCCTCCCGGCTCCTCCTTTCCCCCCGGGCTTTACGAGTTCCGGCTCCACTCACCACCTCCTTGCTATTCTGGGAACAGTCCAGAGGCTCAGGACAGAATGCCCTTCCTCCAGCCAACAGCATGCTTTGCTACTTCTCTCAGACTTGAATCAAGTCTCCTCAAAGATGCCTTTGAGCCCAGGTGGCACAGTGGTTACGACTGGCTACTGACCAAAAGGTTGGTGGCCTGGCCCCCCCCCCCCCCACACACACACACTAACTCCTCTGCAGGAGAAAAACGTGGCTGCCTGATTCTATAAAGACTGATGGCCTCAGAAACCTTAAAGAATGTTTCTGCTTTGGCCGGTGCGGTCACTGTGAGTCAGAATCGACTCGCTGGCAAGGGCTTGGTTTGGTTAAAGTGCTTTTCCATGAATTGTTGTGAAGTGCTGTCGAGTTGGTTCTGACCCATGGCGACCCTGTATAGGGTTTCCAAGGAGCAGGTGGTGAGCTTGAACTGCTGACTTTGCGGTTCAAACCGACTTTGCAGTCTAGCGCACTTAACCCACAGCGCCACCCCAGGACTCCATGAACACCCTATATAGAATTGTCACCCTCCCTGGTGTGCATCATCTCCTTGGTTTCTTCTTCATAGAACTTCTTATTTATTGTGTGTTTCACACTGAAAAGGGGCCCCCGGTGGTGCAGCAGGTTAAGTGTTAGGCTGCTAATCCCAAAGTTGGCAGTTCAAACCCACCCGTGTCTCCATTGTAGAAACGTGTAGCAATCCATTCCTTTAAGATTCACAGCCCCAGAGACTCTGAGGACCAGCTCTGATTTGACCTGTGGGATGCTGTGAACCCGAGTCAGTGTGGTGGCAGTGGGTGTGGATTTGGTGTGGTATAGATTCTGGCGTATTGGACTTGTTTCGCCTCCTCCAGTGTGAGGGTCTTAAGTCGGGTTTTCCAGAGAAGCAAAACCAGTGACACGTCTCTGCACATAGACACACAGGAATCCTGGTGTGGCACTGTAAGATAATTACAGGACTCCTAACCATAGGATTGGTGGTTCAAACCCATCCGTCACTCCTTGGAAACCTTATACAGGGTCGCTAGGGATTGGAACCAACTTGACGACACGTAACAGCAGCAACAGTAGCAAAACACAGAGGTGTCTGTCAGGTAGATGGCTCACCCATGTAGAGGCAGGCACGTTCTTTTTTTTAAAGTTTTTGTTGTGAATTGAGTGATAGTCTACATGGGAGAACATAGGTTTTACACTCGTTTCTTTGCAATGACACAGTCTCCTCTGTGCATCATCATTCAACAGTATTTGTTTGTATTCCCTCTGTTTTTTTTTTTTTTTTTTTAGGGGGGCAGGATGTACACAAAAACACTCAGGAATATATAATCATTTAAATAACCAAGGAACACATTCTGCAGGCTGAGGCAGGTAGGTTCTCGATCCTTAGTTAAGATTGGAGGGAGGCTGCAGGTTTCTCCTGGCTCACGGAGCTCTGGGGGCTGAGGAACTGAGATCGGCAGGCCAGATGGCAGGCAGAAGGAATCCCTGGATCAGCAGGCAGAATGTAGACCACTGACTCAAGTCCAAGTGGAGGTTAGATGTGGAGCCAGGTGCAGGACCTAGACTCAATCAAAATCAAGCTTTCAGTGACTGACTTCATGGCAGATCTCTTGGAGATGATTATATTGCATTATAGCTCATGAGGGCATGATGACATCTTAAGTACGAAACCATTGACAATGTTGGCCCCGCTAAGTTGACGCACAACCTGAATGATCACAGTGGGGTTAGAAGAGCTACGTGGTGAGCTTGGAAGGTGAGGCCAAGCCTGGCGCATTTCTGTCTCTCCAGTACCGTAGCCTGGGACCAAGCAGATCAGCTCGTAGCTGGTCACAGGCAGGTGTACTTGGGTGACAAGTGGAAGTGGAAATTGTTCATCCTCTGCTCAGCGCAGGACAGGTTTCCTTATAGGTGTGTGTGTGTTTGTGTGTGTGTGTGTGTGTGTGTGTGTGTGTGTGAGAGAGAGAGAGCGAGCGAGCTTGCTGCAGAACTGTGACAAAGGAGCAGCATTATTTGTAAACTTGATTGTTGTTGTTAAGTACCATGGAGTCGACTCATAGTGACCCTGCACAGGGTTTCTGAGGCTGTAAATCTGTACGGGAGCAGAACGCCTCATCTTTCTCCCGTGGAACCACTGGTAGTTTTGAACTGCCAACCTTGAGGTTAGCAGCCCGATTTGTAACCACTACGCTACTTGGTTAGTTACAATGAAAAACACAAAATGCATTTTTACTTGGGAGGATTTTGAGGCGGCAAATGGTACAGCCCCATTAGAGATTCAGCACCATGAACAGAAGCGTGGCAAGGGAACCCATACTGGCAGTTGTTTCCAGGAGTCCAGGGAGAGGTGAGGGAGGCTCCCAAAGACGGTGGCTGAGGGAGAGGTGAGAAACTACAGGAGAGGAGCCCTGCTCAGGCAGGTTGCATACTATGTGGAAAATCAAGTCTTTGCCTTAGAAAGGACCCCTGTCCTTTGTTGTTGTTGGCTGTGGTGACCCCCATATGCAACATAATGAAATACCGTCTGGTCCTGTACCATCCCCATGGTTCGTTGCAGATCATTGTGATTTTCATTTGGCTTGATTTTCAGATGGAGATCACCAGGTCTTTCTTCCTAGTCTCTCTGAGTGTGGAAGCCCCACTGAGACTGGTTCAACTTCACAGAAGCATGCACATGGGTGGTGGCTGCACTGGCCAGGAATTGAATCCAGGTCTCCTGCATGGGATGAGTCCCCATCCACTAACCTTGCCCAGACAGGACAGGTGTTGACGAGTGTGTCATCTTCTCCACAGAGTCTGTCACAGGCATGATGGAGGAGACCGAGGAGGGGAGCTCTCTGAATCCCGGCTGTAAGATCATGACCTTCAGACCCACCTTGGAGCAATTCCAGGACTTCAACAAATGCCTTGCTTACATGGAGTCGAAAGGAGCCCACCGAGCTGGCCTTGCTAAGGTAAGGTTCTTCAGCTAATGACTGAGACGAGATGAACTGGCACAGTGGCAGCAGCTGTGGGCTCAAGCTTAGCAGCGTTTGTGAGGATGGCACGGGACTGGGCAGTGTTTCGTTCTGTTGTGCATAAGGTCACTATGAGTTGGAATCGACTCGCTGGCACCTCACAGCAGCCAACGGAAAGATGACCCCTTGGTCTTTAAATCATTCTCTTTGTTTTCCTGTTACAGCAAATGATTGCTTCCAAACGAAGATATAAATATCTATTTATTCTTTTTTTTTGTCATATTGATATGCATACCACATACGAGAGGGTTTCAAAAAAGTTCATCGAAAACTGGAATGAAAAGATAATGGAATTTTCCCATGAACTTTTTGAAGCCCCCTTGTAGATATTTGCCTCCTTCGAGTGGAGAAATGATTGATTAATCTTAGTTTTGTGCTCTGTTGAGAGGCAGGCAGGCTAACAATGACCAAGTGAGCATTCACACGTCACACCACACTGAGCTTTCTTTTCCGTTCAACTAGCCTTGAGCTCTTTGAAGTTGAGCACATTATACCTTTCTGTGGTTAAACTTTATCTTCAAGTTTGCCATGCTAACCGAGCCACCTTGCTGAAATTATTGGTAGTGGTGGTGGTTTTGTGCCATGGAGTTGGTTCCAACTCATAGCAACCCTGTATAGGGTTACCAAGGCTGTAAATATCCACAGAAGCAGAGAGCCTTATCTTTCTCCCATGGAGTGACTGCTAGATTTGAACTGCTGACCTTGGGTTAGCAGTCCAACTCGTATATAACCCACTACGCTACCAGAGTTCCTTCCTGAAATGATTATGAGCATTAAAAATGAATTAACCCCAAGTACAGTATTTGGTGCAGTGAGTACTGAATAGCTGTTTGCGGTTTTAAAAACATCATTAAAAAAACAACAACCATCAAAGCTAACTCCTAACAACATCTGGAATCCTGGTGTGGTGCTGTGGGTTAATGCGCTGGACTGCAAGGTCGGTTTGAATGGCAAAGTTGGTGGTTCAAGCTCAGCAGCTGCTCCTCGGAAACCCTGTACGAGGTCACTATGGGTTAGAACCCACTCAGTGGCACTTAATAACTGAAACAAGTGACATGTTATAGGACAGAGTAGAACCATCCCAAAGGGCTTCCAAGGTTGTGAATCTTTCCTGGAGCAGACCACCACGTCTTTCCCATGCCGAGCAGCTGAGTGTTTGACTCCCACGTTGTCTGGGCTCCATTCAGTCATTGCTTCCTGCTTTCAAAAAGCCCAAGAGAATGAAACACACTCTTCATGGCTCCTTTGCACATTGTCACAGGGATGCTGAGAAATCCCTCACTTGTTTAGAGACGAAAGTGAAATTACGACCTGGAATGTTTTCAAGACGCCATTGTATTTTTTCCCAGGTGATCCCACCTAAGGGGTGGAAGCCCAGGAAGTCTTATGATGACATTGATGACTTGCTGATCCCAGCTCCGATCCAGCAGATGGTGACAGGCCAGTCGGGCCTCTTCACGCAGTACAACATCCAGAAGAAACCCATGACTGTGAGGGAGTTCAGAGAGCTGGCCAACAGTGACAAGTGGGTGGAGCCTGTTTGCTCTTTCTATTTCCATTCAAGTTAAACATGAACATGGTGTGATAACATTGAATTAGTTCATGTCTCTTCTAGCCAAAGGCTTTGTAAGCTCCCAGAAAATGACTTCTTCCTGCTGGGTCTGGTCGAGAGAAGGTGGGGGAAGATGCTGATGGTTTATATGATGTAGTTGTGAGGGATAGTTAACAGGACTGATTGTGAGGGGTCAGCTTTGCCATCCTGCTGGGTATAGCATCGAAGAAGAGGAGCCCGGAGTGGAGGGCATCCTTTAACTCCTGAGCTGTGTGCATGGTGAACCGCTTTGATCCAAGGACAGAAAGCTATGCCAATGGAGAAGGGGCAGAACCAAGAGCCAGAGCACCAGACAGTGGTGAGCTTCCCAGGCCACAGAGCAAGTAAACCTGAGTGACTTGGGCTAGGAGGCTCGCTTGCAGAGTGGGGTATCTCCAGTCACTTAATTAAGGGAGCTAGGTTTGCTGACCCACGGAGCTAGAATTGAGTGTCTTTGGGCTGAGCCCTGTAGTGGAGTGGGGAACCTTTTGGACATTTACAGTAGCTTAAGGAGTTTTGAAACATAGCTGAGCAGAGCAGAGGCCAGGCCAAAGGGCCGAGGGCCAGGGGTAGGCCTGCCTCAAGACTGTGCTCTGAGCAGTTCTACCTCTGAATCGACCTGTTGACTCCCAAATAAAGCCCACCACCATGAGTACTGTCTCTTGAGTTCCATGTGGCCATTTGCAGTGAATTCTCAGAGTGGGAGGGAGGGATGGTTGGTTGCTGCATTTGCATGTGCTCAGGAGCCATGTGACAGAGGAGATTGTGATGAAAGCAGGTGACGTTCACACTCTCCCACGGCATCTTTGTTTCACTGTCTCTGTTTTCTGTTCTTTAGGTGGCTGCCTGTGTTAACATTCACTGTAAGGGAAACGGTTCCTTGTTTTATAGTCTCATTCCTGTCTTTTAATCACCATGACGTTTTGATTCATTTTTCTTTTTCATTATGAGACAATATTTAAGCCTTAAACTACATATATTAGAAAAACAATCCTTAATGACTTGGAGGATTAGTGTATTCGCTATCCATTTTCTCCCTCTGTGTAACAAATTACTCTGAAATGTAGTGGCTGAAACCAATACATTATACATTATCTCACAGTTGGAGGATGAGAAATTCGTGAACTACTTAAGTGGGTGATTCTGACTCAGGGCCTCTCAGGAGGCTGTAGTCCAGCTGTGAGCCAGAGCTTCTGTCATTTGAACGGTAGAGCGAGGCTGGAAGATGCTCTTCCAAGACCGATCACCTCACATGGCTCTTGGCTGGAGGCCTCAGTTGCTTGCTGCATGGACTGACCCTTATGGGGTGGCAGCTGACTTCACCTCGAACAAGTGATACAAGAAGGAGTGACCAACATCAAAGCCACAGTGCTCTTGACCTTTCTCAGAAATCACACCCTGTCACTTCTGCTATATTCTCTTGGTTAGCAGTGAGTTGCTAAGGACAGTCCACACTCCAGGAAAGGAGGATTAGACCCCACCTGTTGAAGGGAGAAGTATCAAAGGATTTGGGTCCATTCAGAATTCATCATACTTGGGGTTATTATTAAGTTATTATTATTATTATTTTTAATGTTTCTGGCAGTAGTGGTTAAGATCAACAAACCAACAATCAAATCCCACAACAAACAAAACCCAAGAAACCATCTAACCTTATTCAGCCAAAGTGCGTAGTGGTCTAAAGTTCCTGGAAAATTAATCCCTTTGGATGAACTTGGTTGATACATTCTTTCTTTTTTCAAATTGTTTTTGTCAGATTAAGCACACAGTGGTACATGAAGAACTTTAGTTTTATGTTTAAATTTCCCACTTGCGGAGCATTCTGGCTATTTCAGAAGAAATGAAAATGTTACATTTAATTTAAATGTGAATGCTTGTTTTAGTTTTTTGAATTTTGGTGCATATAGTAATGACTCATTGATTCACGCCACATTAATTGAGAATGTGAAATTGCTAGAGACAGGGTTAGTTTGTTTTCCGATTTCTAAAGAACACTTTAATGAGCACAATTTTATTGAAACAAGATTGCTGAGGCAATTTTACCCCAACTTTTTGCAAGTATGAACTAGCTGCTGTATTCTCTTCTTTCTTTTTTTGATAACTCATTTCTAGTGGTCCTCTTAGAGTATGAATAAATGTGACCATAGTTCATTTAGTAGAACTTCGGCTTGGTAACCTTGGTGTGCTACAGAACTGTGTAAACAATAGTTTTTACTTGCTACTAATCAGGTGGTGTGCTGTCGAGTCAGTTCTGACTCTTAGCGACCTGGTATAGGGTTTTCGAGGCTGTAAATCTTTACGGGAGCAGAAAGCCTCATTCTCACATGGAGGGGCTGGTAGATTAGAACTGCTGGCCTTGCTATTACTTGACACAGGAGAAAGACGTGGTGATCGGCTCCCAAAAGGCATGTTGTTAGGACACTCTTAGTTCCCACCGCCGCTCCCACTGCAGAGGTACGAAGTCCTGTGAGATCCAGAGTACGGGACAAGGTCTGTCGTCATGGCTGCAGGGATGAATTCCGGCCATTTTGTTGGTGCTGTTGAGACAGGTTTTGAAGGATGGCCACAGTTATCTTTACTGACCACAAAGGTCATACATGCTTATTTAAAAATTTAAGCCATATCCAAATACCTCATTTTAACACTCAATGACAGTGATTTCAATACATGGCAAGTCAGAACAGTGAGGAGAACTGAAACCTGAAGTCTGTTGTTTTCTTGCCTTGAGATGCTTTGGTCATTTTGTGAACACAGTATCAGGTTTCTTGTTGGAGGTAATTCATTTACTAGACACTTACTTTTCTCATATCTTTGTTCAGTTTTAGCTCTGGTGGCTTGCTTGTTGGTAGGCTCTTCCTGAAGAGAGCCGTTCAGGTGACATCTGCTTTGTCTAACATGGTACGCCTGTGCTGCTTCTGGTGGTTCTGTGCCGTCAGGTTGTGAGCTTCGGAAGCTTCAATAGGGTTTCCAGGGCAGTAAACCTTTATAGGACGAGAAAGCTTCATGTTTCTCCTGTGCAGTGGCTGGTAGATTCAAACTGCTGACCTTGCAGTTAGCAGCTCAACTCGTAACCCATTTCGCTACCAGGGCTCCCTGGCATGTGGTTGTTGTTGTTGTTAAGTGCCACTGAATTGGTTCCAACTCAAAGCAACCCTGTATAGGGTTTCCAAGGAGCGGCTGGTGAGCTTGAACCGCCGACCTTGTGGTTCGAGCTGACCTTGCGGTCTAGCGCTTAGGAACCTTGTTGGCACATGTGGTTAAACTCTTGGCCACCAACCAAAAGGTTGTCAGCTTGAACCTGCCCAGAGATTCTGCGGAAGGAAGACTTGGTGATTTGCACCTATGAAGAATGTTGTTGCTAGATGCCATGGTCTTGATTGTGACTCACAGCTGTCTTGTGTACAACAGAACCACATGCTGTCAGTTCCTACACTGTTGGCATGACTCTTGTTACTTGAAGCCATTGTTGCCATCACTGTGTCATCCACCCCGTTCAGAGTCTTCCACTTTGTCTCTGATGCTCTACCTGAGGGCGATGGCCTTCTCTAGGGGACTGGTCCCTCCTGATCATATATCCAAAGCACATGAGATGAAGTCTCCTCAGCCTGTCATCTAGGGAATATTCTAGCTACACAGTATAGACCACAGCCTAGGAAACCCTCTAGTACTCTTCAGCTCGGTCACATGGGTTGCTGTGAGTTGGAATCTCACTATGATGCCAATAGCAACACTTTCAATATATGTTGATTGAATGAGTAACTGTTGTTATGAGAAAGTTAAAGTTCACTTGATGTGGTGTAAATTAGTAGGTAGATTGTCAAGATTTATTCACTAACACAACATGTATTTCCTGGTATTCTGCAGTTTAAAAATGATAATAAAAAAAAAGTTGGGTTGCTGTTTATGAAGATGGCGCTGAACGTGAAGAAAGAAGCCCCTCCCCCTCCCAAAGCTGAAGCCAAAGCCAAAGGTGTTGAAGGCCAAGAACGCAGCACTGAAACGCGTCCACAGCCACACACAAAAAGGTCCACACATCACCCACCTTCTGGTGGCCCAAGACAGAGACTCCAAAGGCAGCCCAGATAGTCTTAGAAAAGCGCCCCCAGGAGAAACGCACTTGACCACTCTGCCATCATCAGCCCCCTCTGCCTCCTGTGGCAGCCATGAAGAAGACTGAAGACCTCAGCATGCTTGTGTTCAGTGTGGAGGTCAAGGCCACCAAGCCCCAGATCACATAGGCCGTGAAGGAGCTCTGTGACACTGACGTAGCCAAGGTTAACCCCAGGATGAGGCCTGATGGAGAGAAGAAGGCGTGTGTTCCACTGCCTCCTGACTCCCTAGGGTGCTTTGGATGTTACCAACAAAGCTGGGATCATCTAAACTCAGTCCAGCTGGCTAATTCTAAATAGACATTATTTCAATTAAAAAAAAAATTTGGGTTCTTTTATTAAAATTTGGGAAATATGACCACTGTGTGAAATTGTCTCTGAAAGATTATCTCCAGGTCAAATTTCCTTTCTTTCCAAATTAATGAATCGATTTGGTCTAGTTGCACGATCATTGTTATCGTATTCAAATAAAATACATTTGAAATGTCTACTTCTCTATTTTCTCTGTCAGTGTCATGTGGAAATTGATTCCTAGTGTTAGTGACAGGGGTTGCTAAGCCTTGAGCCATGTCTTTCTTGTCCACTCAGGCTGTACTAGGCTCACGTGGTCTTTGTGATAGGTGTGGTAAGGATCTTGAGATGGGACTGGTTCCCAGGGTAGCAGGAGGCCTCCTACAAGTCTTCATTCATCTGTGTTCTCTTGCTCCATGTCCTTGCAGAGGGTACATTCCATGATGCACTTGGCATGAACAGTAGAGATGACAACATACATACTTGGTTTATATATGTACCGTGACTTAATCCAAAGAGAATCTGGAGACCTCCACTGTAGCTCTAAAATAAAGCTTTATTTATTTAGGCCTTGGGTTTGAGTGTGGAGTTTTATTATCTCTGTATTACCGAGCAGAGGTGGGGAACCTTTTTTACTGCCAAGGGCCATTTGGATCTGTCTAACACCATTTGCAGGCCATACAGAATTATCAGCTGAATAATTACCGGCTATAATGTGCTAGCAGGAGCTCTGGTAGTGTAGTGGTTATGAATTGGGCTGTGAACCGCAAGGTTCCGCGGGAGAAAGATGAGGCGTTCTGCTCCCGTAAAGATTTACAGCCTCGGAAACGCGCAGGGTCGCTATGAGTTGGAACCGACTCCATGGCACTTAACAATAACAACAACATAATGTGCTAGCTGGAACTGCGATTGCATTGGCAGGGCCAGACCAAAGGACTTTGTGGCCTCACATAGCCCTTAGGCTGGATGTTCCCCTCCCTGTTATTGAAATCGACTGAGGCCCAGAGAGATCCAATTCCCTGTGCAGAGTTTGTAGCTTGTAAATGTCAAAAAGCTTGGATTCCTAGCCAGGCGATCTGGTCCTGGAACCCCCTTTCTTAACAACTGAAAGGTTCTGGGTAAGAAGGAATGGGTGAATCAGTTGTAAGCAGGTTGCTGCAGGATTGTGGAGCAGTTGTGATTGTTTGATGCTTCAGTAGGAATAAATATAATCTATAACCAACTTTCATTAGACCAAGCATCAACCAAGTGAACTGGTACCCTGTGAATGGAGTTTATGATTAGTATTTGTTTGAAATGTTCAAAGATTGTAGAATTTAACTTGAATAGATAATGTCAAACTGTAACTTTTTTCAGAATTCTGGATGTTGTGTAAAAGAGATCTCATTTTCTTCTTGCCATGAATGTATTAAATATTTGTTAATCTAATAATATTGAAGAGTACCTTATTTTAGTTTTACTTTTCTTACAGTTTTAATGAAATAGTCCTTTGCCCTTCAATTTATAACATTCTGTAATATATTACAGTTGGTTAACGATTTTAGAAAATCTCTATTATGAAAGCTAAAAGAATGAATTTTTGACTAATTTCCCTCTTTTGTTGTTGATACTTTCACAAAAGTCTATTCTTCACTAATTAAAGCTATGTTGTTGTTGTTAAGTGCTGTCGAGTTGGTTCTGACTCATAGCGACCCTGTACAGGGTTTCTGAGGCTGTAAATCTTTACGGGAACAGAATGCCTTATCTTTCTCCCACGGAACAGCTGGTAGTTTCGAACTGCTGACCTTGCTGTTCACAGCCCGATTCGTAACCACTACGGTACCAGAGCTCCTTAATTAAAGCTATAGAGGTATCGTATAAAGTTATTTTAGAATTGTAAGAGTATTCACGTATCTATGGTAAATATGTTTGTATATTTACTTGCTAGATTTGCAAACATGAATGTTTGCAGTACATATTTGCATTTTGATAGAATTTTGTTTGGAGAGTGTTTGAAATCCAATGGAAGATGTCTGTCTACATTGTCTTACTGATTTTGTGTTTATTTTGACCTTTCTTTTCTAGGTATTGCACTCCAAAACACTTGGATTATGAAGATTTGGAGCGCAAGTACTGGAAGAACTTAACATTTGTGGCCCCCATCTATGGCGCCGATATTAACGGGAGCCTTTATGATGAGGTAGATTTGTAATGGTTTTTGTAAAAGATCACTTGATGTTACTGTTTTGTTATACTTTTAGACAGTGTGGAAGTAGTAAGATGTTGTGCTTTGGTTGATCTATTCTTCCTAAATGACAAGATGAAACACAGAATCCTCACTAGGATTTTTGCTGTGCTCCGGGTTAATGCGCTGGACTGCAAAGTAAGTTTGAATAACAAGGTTGGCAGTTCAAGCTTACCAGCTGCTCCTTGAAAACCCTATACAGGGTCGCTTTAGGTCAGAACAGACTCAACTGCACTTAGCAATATAGACACACACTGCTTAATTAAAACAATTATCATTTATAACTTATGTATCTATATGTCAATGCACACACACACACACACTCCTTAAAACAATTCTGATTTATAGCTTGTATATGTGTTTATACATATATACACGCATACTGCTTAAAACAATTCTCATTTGTAGCTTATAGATGTGTATGTGTATATGTGTCTATATATATACATATATACAATGCTGAAACCATTTCTCATTTATAGCTTATATATTTATACGTGTTGTTGTTGTTAAGTGCCATCAAGTTGGTTCTTACTCATAGCAGTCTTGTGTAGGGTTTCTGAGGAGCGTCTGGTGGGTTTGAACCATTGACCTTATGGTTCAGACTGACCTCACAGTTGAACGCATTATCCTGAAGCACCACACCAGGACTCCATTTCTATGCGTATACTCACATACATTGCTTTAAACAATTCCCATTTATGACAGCACAATTTCTGTGGGTCAGGCTTCCAGACATGGTTTAACTGGGTCCTCTGCATCCCAAGGCTCACAAGTTGTCAGCTGGGGCTATGTTCTCATCTCGGGGATTGATCAGGGAAGGATTTGCTCCCAAGCTTAGTCACGCGGTTCACAGAATCTGGTTCTTTCTGGCTGTAGGCTTCATCACATTGGCTTCTTCAAAGAGAGTCTCAGCTGTTTTGTCTCTGATTTCAGGGAAGGCCAGTTCATTGTACAACTTCTGTAACACTGTAGTATCTAGTTGTCCCACCACTTGTCTGTCAGCTTGTTGTATCATGGTGGTTTCCATGTTGCTTTGCTGCTGGAAGCTAAGCTACTGGTATTTTAAATACAGCAGGGTCGCACTTGGTAGACAGTGGAGTTTCCAGACTAAGACAGACTAGGAAGAAGAAGAGGTGGTCAACTTCTGAATGTTTAGCCACTGAAAACCTTATGAATAGCAGCGGAACATTGTCAGATACAGGGCTGGAAGATGAAACCATAATGACTAGAACTAAAATACTGTCAGATACAGTGCCAGAGGACGAGCCCCTCAGGTTGAAAGGCACTCAAAACATGCCTGGGGAAGAGCTGCCTCCTTAACGTAGAGTTGACTGTGATGAAGCCAATGGAGTAAGCCCTCAGGACCTTCAGCTGCTCATGGGGCACAACTCAAAATGAGAAAGAGCTGCAAACATCCATTAACAATCTGAACAAGGAATGTATGAAGTATGAATCTAGGAAAATTGGGAAGTTGCCAAAAATGGAATGGAATGCATTACGATCACTATCCTACTCCTCGGCACCAGTGAGCCGACATGGACTAGGACTGGTCATTTTGTGTTGGACAGTCATGTAGTTACTATGCCAGGAACCACAACTTCAGGAGGATTGGCATTGCATTCCATTTAAAAAGAACATTTCAAGGTCTTCTTTGAAGTACAAAGCTGTCTGTGATAGGATGGTATTCATCTGCCTACAAGGAAGGCCAGTTAACACCAATATTAAGTCCAGGAGAGCCAAAGTATGACTTTGAACACATCACAGCTGAATTTAGAGACCATCAGAAGGACAGATTTGATGCATTAGACACAAGTGACTGAACGAAGGCCAGGAGAATTGTGGGAGGACATTAAGAACACCTTACAGGAAGAAAGCAAAAAGTTGTTAAGAAAGAAGGACAAACCCAAAATGGATGTCAGAAGAGACTGCGAAACCTGCTCTCCAGCATAGAGATGCTACAACAAATGGAAGAAATGAGAAAATATAAGATCTGAACAGAAAATTTCAAAGGGCAGCTCGAGTATACAGAGTCAAGTACTATAATGACACATGCAAAGGCCTGAAGTTAGAAAATCAAGAGAGTAATGCACTCAGCATTTCTCACGCAGAAAGAACTGGAGGAAAAATTCAAGCCTTGACTTGAAATATTGAAGGATTTCATGGGTACACTGATGCAGAAAGCATCAAAAGAAAATGGAAAGTATAACACACAGAGTCACTGAGCCAAAAAAACCAAACTAAACCAGTGTCCAACCATTTCAAGAGGTAACATATAATCAAGAAAGACATCCAGGCTGCACTGAAGGCATTGTGAAAAACAAGGCTCCAAAGTGTAGACAAGACAAATGGAAATCTTTCAACAAACTGATACAGCACTGGAGGCATTCAGTCATCTATGCTGAGAAATTTGGAAGATGGCTACGTGGCCAACCAGAGTAGACTGCAAGCTATTCATGCTTGTGCCCATTCCACAGAGAGGTGACCCAGTAGGAAGGGTAGGGAAATCATTCAGCCATATCATTAATACCACATGCAAGTAAAATTTTGCTCATAATTTAAAAGCGGTGCCAACAGTACATTGACAGGGAGCTGCCAGAGGTTCAAGCAAGGAGCTTCTGCAGCTTTTCAGAATGTCATGCTTACTCCAGTAACACAGCAAAGCTGCGCACACTGCATTTCTGACTTTCCCCCACCCTCAGAGAGCTTTGGCTCTGCCTCCTCTTGGGGTTTCGTGTAGGCTCGTGAACTATCCCCACTTTCTCTGAGGACGATTTCACTCATAATAACAGAAAGATGATAGCAGTGATAATCTGATACACTCATTTATTTTTGGGAGCATTTTACTGTGCTTTAGGTGAAATTTTACATCACAAATTAGGTTTCCAGTCCTTGCACAGATTGTTGCTATCCAGTACATTGAACATGCACAGGGAACTCAGTCATTTTGGGGAAACAGCCAAGACAATCTTACTCTCTCGCTGGGACTGGATGGTCTGATTCGGAGATTCACAGAATCACTCCCGTTACAAGGTTTTCACTGGAGTAGTGGGTTTTGGGTCAAAGCTAAACAACGTATTTGGAAACTGAGCACAGATACTGAAGCTCATTGTGTTGACAGTGGGCCTGGTGATTACAGCAGGGTTTATTTCTCAAAGATGTTTCAGGCTCAGCCCCTAACTTCCTTGTGTCGATTGCTGAGAACACACAGTTGTAGAATGGCTAAGAGCATGACATTGGGTCACATTGGGAAGGGTTCTGAATGTTGGGCTGTTACTGTGAACATCCTGAGGAAGCGTTTGGGAGTGTTTCACTTGGTCAATGACAGGCTCAGAATCACTTTAGGAGTTGAAAGTTTGGTGGTTCGAACCCACCCAGTGGCTCTGCAGGAGAAAGACCGGATGATCTGCACTTGTAAAGATTGTTAAGTGCCGTCGAGTGGGTTCCGACTCACAACAGCAACGCTGTATAGGGTTTCTGAGGCTGTTAATCTTTAAGGGAGCAGAAAGCCTCGTCTTTCTCTTGCGGAATCACTGGTGGGCTCAAAACTGTTAACCATGTGGTTAGCAGTCCGGTGTTTGTGTACAGAGCAGCATGCTTCTGATGGATGTGGTGGAACTCCAAGTCAGTGTATCACAGCCAAGCCTATTTGACACGCAGTTTCTTTTGGGCACAGTTCATTCTACCTGGATACTGCATAATTCTCGTTCCCTTTGAAACAGGTATGGTATCATAGTGGACATGGTTTGGTCTTAGGTGTTTTACTTTCCCATTTTAGCACATTGTAAATGTTATCTGAGGATGACCGATGATTTGTAAAAGGGTGATTGGAAATCAGTGTATGTGTGTTTGATTTTCCGTGGCTCTGTGATTTTCCTGAGCCCGAAGGAAGCTGATAAATACATGTGGGAGCAAGAAGTGAGGAGTGGAGCAGCTCCAGTCTTGGGTTTGGATTCTGGAAATCCACCTGTTATCAGTGTGGGGTAGGTGCAGCCCACAGGGGGCAGGCAGGTGGTTGCTAACCTGGAACGTTGCCACCAACCCTGGCTGCCTTTCCTGTGTGGCTGTTGGAATCAAAGCTTGATTGCAGCGGACTTCATTTGACCTACTTACTTACAGAGGCCATCTGCCATTTAGAGATGTCTTTGCTTGAGAGCCGACACCTCTTCCTAAAGTGAAGGTCTGGGTTAACTGCTTCCCAAGGCTTTGAAATATGTTTGCCTTATGAAAAGCAACCTTTCTTCAAGACAGTGTGTTGAATTCTTTGACAGTGAATTTTTTGTGTGTTGCACATTATTTTTGCATTAGAATTTTGTCAAATCAAGAACCTGTTTATAAGAAATCTGTTGCCTGGGACATGGGGACCATTTTGTACCATGGCCTATAGATAAAACATTCTTTTTTTTCTCTCTCTCCTCCCACAATGGGGTGAATGAAAGACCTTTGTCCACCAGATGGTGCTCGTGGACAACAAATGTAGCTAAGGCATTAGGAGTCCCACTGACATGTAGCGGTTTAAGGGATGTTGAGAGTTCTTTTCCATTTTGTAATTTTTTTCAAGTCAGGATATTACTTATCCTGAAATCAATAATTTGAATCCTGTTAACTAACTGTTGGTGTGATGGATATACCCAAGGCCAAGCGTCATCCACTTAGACATGTTATGGTGAAAATTGGTCTGTATAATCAGGTCTTTGAAGTTTTACTTCTGTGAAATTAGCCCCTCATGAATCAGAACACATGTCTACCTGTTCACATGCATGGTTGCTCCTTAGCGAGGGCAGTCTTAGCCATCCAGACCCAGGTTGCGGGGTGGGGACCATCTTAAATCTAGAATGTTTCATTAATTCTGGAAGCTGCCTTCCGAGAGGTATTGCCAGAGTTTCGTGGCCAGGGTGGGGCAGGAATTGTTGACTGAAAAGTGACTTGGCTTATTCACATGCTTGCTTACTGCC